GCATCTCTGAACTGTGTGTGCCCTTGGCTATGTATATATGCACCCTTGTAACATTATAGAGGTTGTTTTATGTAAACATATGGTCTTGCTTTATCATTTCTTATGAATTGCATTGACCTATAAATCTGGTTCTATTTCCTTCTTATTTTGCACTCAGCAACACACTTTCAAGATGTACAGAGTCAGCTGCAGGTAGCACTCTGAGGACTGCTTCTAAAGGCGACATACATAACAGGCCTTTGCGTGCATCTGCCTCGTTTTGGCCATTCTTTCCCCAGTGTGAGTCCCTCCAGTTCCTCGTTACTGCAGACGGTGATGCCATGAACACCCTACACTTGCCGAAGAGGAGTTTATAACCCAGAGCAGTGTTATGGGGCTTTGGGGTGCACACATACATTACTTCATGGGGTACTGCCAGATATCTCTCCCCAGTGTTTCAGCCAGTGTGCACTTTCTCCAGAAGAGTCTGAGGCTTCCAAGTTCATTACCATTACCAATGTCTGCTATTATCCTAATTTCTAACTCTTTCCAATCTGACCAGTATGAAGAATTATCTCATTACTTTTTACACTTACATTTCTCTGATTATTATTGAGGATAAGAAACTCTCATATGTATAAGACATTTAGGTTTCCCTGTTTGTGAACTGCCAATTCACATCTGTTGACTATTTTCTATTGTTTTATTTTAATTGCAGATTAATACATATTTCTATTATGTTCTAGATAATAAGCCCTTGGTTTTTAATGTTGCAAACATGGTTCCTAGTTTGTCAGTTGTTTCATAACCTCCATGTCCTTCACTGGCAACAATCTCTAATTTTGTGTAGTCAAACTCTAACTCACTTACTAAAGTGAGTTTTCTTTTCTTTTTTTTTTAACATTTATGAATTTACATCGTGGAAAGATATCCACAACTATATTATTAAGGAAAAAAAGCAAGTTATAAAACAGCATGTACACTATGATCTTATTTAATGTAAAATGACACATAAGGAATGCCCTGTCTATGGGCTTGTGTATAAAATTAAGTCATGCTTCCTTTACTGTTCAAATTGTAACAACCCCAATCCTATGCCACTTAGTTGAGCAGAAAATTCGGTTTTCCTTCCTGGGATTCCTGCCTCAAGACTCCTCAATGATGTTTCTCAACTTCAGTCTTATTGATCTTTACACAGAACCAACTCCTGATTTTGTTCATTTTTCCCCTGCTATCTTCTATTCTTTTTTATTTATTTTGTTATTCTTTGTTGCATCTATCTCTGCATTATCTTTATTATTTTTTCCTTCAGCTAGCTTTGCCCAACCTTCTTCTGACTTTTAGGGTATGCACTTTAGGGTGTTGTCCAAAAATAATATTTTTAAAATTTAGATTTCTAATTGGTATAGACTTTAAAATTCCAAATTTAATTTTCCCCACATAAAAAGCCAATTTCTTCATTGCAGACTAAAAATTCCTTCCTTTCCCCATGATTTTTGGTGCAACTTGTACCACATAATAAAAACTAGATTCTGAATTCTCCATGATATTCCATGGGTCCTTTTAAATTTCTTTATTCTATTATCAATTGATTTATTTCACAAATATTTATTGAGCATCTATGACAACCAGACATTGTTTCATGTGATGGAAATAGACAAAACTTCCTGACTACTACAGAGCTTACTGTGGAAGTGAATAGTGTAGAATGTTAAAGGCCCCTCTAGGGATTTTTTTTCCCTAAAATAACAATAATAGCTGACACATATATTGTACTACTTTTTGCCAGGCACTGTTCTAAGGAGTTTACACATATTAATTTCTGGAGTCCTCTGAATAATGCTTTGAGAGACTTCTCGCTATCATGCCCTGTCTTGCAGATGAAGAAACCATGCATGACACAGCAAGCTTAAGAACCTGCCCAAGATGGTACAGGTGGCGAGTGATGAAGCTGGGATTCAAACCCCATCAGTCTGGTTCCAGGGCCTGTGCTCTACATACTGCTCTGTACTGCCTCTGAGTGCGATGGGAAAGCACTGCAGAAGTAACATGATTTACCCAGATGTTCGCTTTACTAAGGCGGCTATATTGTGACTAGGCTGTAGGAAGGGCACGAGTAGAAAAAGAGAGCAAGACCTGAGGGACTATTGCAATGGTCTAAACAAGAGATAATGGTGATTTGGACTAATGAGTAGCAATGGAGGAGGTAAGGAGTCAGATTCTGGATTTGTTGACAAATGGGCTGTGGAATATGGAAGAAAGAAGAATCACTGATGACTCTAGAGTTTCTTATCTTGAATTGCCCGAAGAATGGAATTGCCCATTACCGAAAGGGGAAGACTACCTAAAGAATAAATTAAGGGGCGAAAACTCCCTAAATCTTTTAGACGTCATTAGACACTAAAGTGGGATTTGAATAGACACTTATATATGTCAGTCTGGAGTGCAGAAGCAAGATAGTCCTGGAGATATAAATTTTAGCAATATTACCATATACACTTAAAAGACTGGAGTAAATCACTAAGAAAAAGAGAATGGGGGAGAAAGTGGCCCATGGACTGACCCTGGTATGCTCCAAAATTTCTCCAGAGATGCGGAGGAAATGAACCAGAAAGATGCGGAAGAGGAGCCCGTGAAGGTGGAGTCAAACTTCAGTTGTAGAGAAGTCAAGTAAACAGAGGTTTGGAGGATCTGATCTACTTTATCAAATCAATGACAAGGTCAAGACAGAAAAGACTTGAGAACACACTACTGGGAGTCACTAGTCACCAAGGAAAGAATGGTGCAAGATTGTGGGTTTGAGAGGCAAAGAAAGGAAAGTCACTGGAAATGAGAAAAGGCACTGTTTCAAGGGGTTTTGCCTTTAAGAGAGACAAGACAGTGGGGTGGAAGCTAAAGGTGGATGTGCCATCAATAAATAGAGGATTATTCCTAAGATCTGAGAATTCATAAAATGCCTGCATGCCAATGAGAAATATTCCAGGATGAATAAAAATGGAGAATTGCAGTCTTCTTGATTAGGTGAGAGATTACAATTTGGTTCTGCAGGGACAAGAAGCACAACTATTTCACCCATAATAACAGGAGAGAAGGCAATGGACATAACACTGGTGATGCTTGGTACTCCTGTTTGTTTTTGTAAACCAATCATATATTCCCCAACAGCGCCTCAAGATCTTATTAATTATACTAATCAGTCTGTTGCTTTTTGTGTAGTTCTTGTTCATTTATGGAAAACACTCACGCATCTACAAGGGAGAACAATTTTGTATCTTGTCTTCTTTTCCAATATACCTCTGTAGTAGTCATTAGTAATGCCCACCGATATTTCCACACCTTCCCCTTTCTGGGTCAAAATTAAGGCTTTACTTCCTAGCTCTCCTGTTCCTGAGCGGGACTGGGTGACTATTTCAGCCGATGGAGTTTTGAGCCAAGTTACATGTATCACCTTGGAACCTGCAGATGCCAGGCCCTCCCAGCTTGCAATTTTCCTTTACACACAATAATTGGCAATGCTAAAAATGGAGGTATTCCACCAGCCTGCTCTCTGAGGGCTGAGCCCAGTCCCTCTGCCAAACCATGGAGAGTTTAGCATGAGCAGGAAATGAATTCTCATGGTTGAGCAACTAAAATGTTTAGTTTTTATGAACTGGAGCATAATCTAGCCCATCCTGACTGATATGTCTCCTATTTGTTCTTCTTATCTGGTTGCCTTGGTCAGGACTTCCAATACGATAATTAAGAACAGCAATTTTCAATGAGCGCGCTACAAGAATTTTTAAAACATGCAATACTATTTAGTCAGGGGCACTGGCCTCTTTTTTCTCTTAGATTGTCAAATTTTAAAAAATGACAATAGGAAACACAGCAATAGTCATTCAGTGTGAAAGAAAAAAATTATACCAATTTTTTGTCAGATCAGCAAAAACTGTATTTTTTTGGTGTGCTATGGAATTTTAGTAATTAGTTTACATGTTCCATGAAATACAAAAGGTTGAAAATCACTGATTAAAAATAATGATAGGATTGTAATTGCTTTTATTATCAAATGGCATTAAGTAATGTTTGTACTTGGTTTTTATCAAGTTAAATAATTTTTCATTTATTTCTAGTTTTATATAAATATGTATTTTTATCATAAATAGGAATTGGGTGCTAGCAAATGAGTTTTCTGCTTTGGTTCAGAAGACATTAAAATTATCATGGTAGGAATTATCTATTTTATGATAATTTGATAGAACTTAGAAAAAATGTCCTATTTTGATTTATTATTTTTAAATAATTATTTTAACTTTTGGTTTGATTAATGTCCTCTATTATTTTTACTCAATTACATTGACTTCTATATTTATCTTTATTATTGTGAATCAAGTGAGTTAAGTATTAACAATGCCTGGGTCAGTAAATATTAAATATATTTTAATTTTCTTCTTTATTTCTTGTTTGCTCTTGTTTTGTATATTATTCATTATTTTCTTAATTGAACAATCAGTTCATTTGACCTCAGTTTTATTAGAATAAATGTCTTTAAAGCTATAGATTTCACTGAATACTGACTGAGCTATATTTCATAAATTTTATGTAATGATTTCCTATAACAGTTCTAATTATTATATAATTTTAGCATTATTTGTGGTTTTACCCACAAGGTTAATAGTATGATTTTTGTTTCCAAATATGTTTTAGTTTTCTAACTTTCCTTTTGTCCTTGATTTCTAATTTTATTGAAATCATCTATGTGAGTGTTGATTCTTTTTATTTACTGGAACTTCTCTATCACAAAGTATTTGTACACTTTTGTGAATATTTTATGAGTGTTCAACAATACTCAATTTTTTCTGTGTATACTTTACATATCTATTTATGTATAAATCTATTCTCCTGGGATATTATTTAATTATTTTATTTTGTTTAATGTCTGTTTGAGCAATAAGTTTCTAAAAACATGTGCTAAAACACTGCTTGTCTTTCTTTATGCAGCATTGCTGTCAAAACTGATCCCCTTACCTGCCTCTGATGGTCAATGCTCCCAAACTAAGCGGAATTTGGGCCCCACTTGAACTTGACTCCACGGACTCTAGCCAGCACTGAGCTGCATCTGTGGGCACAATGGTTCAGGCATAAACAACAAGGCACCAAGTTAAAAATAAAAACTAGAAAGATTCCCCAATCTCTTTCCCACCCATATCACTCTGTATACTCTTCCTTACATCTCCCAGAAGATTCTTACAGTTTTACATTAGTTCCTCAGTTTTCAACACAACGTACGTTCTATAGAGGTTCACATTCAAACTCAATAGGCATAGAAAGACCTAGAAGGTGATTAAACAGAGTATTGAATAGACTTCTCTAGTCCTATTCGATCCACAGCAACTTTGGAGTTGAGTTCCGGTGGGAAGTCTGTGGCACAAGCAAATCTGCCGTTTTGTCAACTACAGCACTCAACATGTCTCTGTCCCTGTTCCTCTGCTTAACTGGGGCAGGGGTCTCTACTGCAACACCATGTGTCCCTACTCTGGGGTCTTGCTCCGCTAATCACTTCCCTTTTTTTGTTTGCGTGATAATCTCTCTACTGGCTTCATCTCTTTGGCCCAGAAACATGTTCATATCCTTCCATATAACTTGTCATTTCTTTCCTTATTCCAGGACTCCATTCAACTATTTTTAATGACACCAATACCACATCACTTTGTAGTACTTTGTACTTGGGCTAGAGCCACGGGATGGGGTGAAGACAAAACAAGGGTGGAATCAAGGGTCCCTGAACAGGTAGGGCAAGTCCAGGTAAAGTGGAAGGGAATTGGGACAAGGTGTGGCAGCAGTGAGGATGGAGGAGAGGCCAAGGGTCAGAGTTTGGACTGAGTTTGGTACCTCAGAAGTGAGGTCCTAAAGAACACTATCAGGATGGTCCAGCAATGCTGTGTAACCACTAGAGGTTAATGAACATAAATTTACCAATATATCTATTTTCCCACTAGTATGATTTTCTCAGACAATTCGCAGGTGCATGGATATGTCAGTCGTGAAATTAGTAAATGATTTAAGAATCCATGGTCAGCTAGCCATCATTTTTAGATTAATCTTCTTAAATTAAGTTTGATTTACTTTATTTCTCTGTGGAAATATGGACAGTGGTTATCTAGCTATTGTTTACAAAATAAAATCTAAATATCTCTTGGCTTGGCATTCAAGATCTCTCCACAATCAAGCCAAAATTTAAAAGTTCACCTCTACCTTTTCTATACCCTTTTCTTCCTGTCACATTGAACCACCTGTCATTTTCAAAACATATCCTACTATTCTTTACATGGCTTTGATACTGCCTTTCCATACACTGACGAGGACTTCGACTGTCCTTTATGCTTACCAGCCTTACCTCTCAAAATCATCCTTAACGTCCAGTTCTATCCCATCTTCTCAGTGAAGCTCTCTTCTGCCTTCCCAAGGAGTTTGGGCACTTTATTGTTTTTAAATCATCATCCAAGGATATGTTTATTGGACTTAGAGAGGAAGGGAAAAAGAGAGGAACATCAATGTGAAAGAAACATTGGTTGCCTCTCCTACATACACACAACCTGGGTATGTGCCCTGACTGGGAATTGAACCCACAGTGTTTTGGTGAACAGGATGACAATCCTACCAACTGAGCCACCCAGTCACGGCAAACTTAGGCACTTGTACATGCTGCTGCCTTAATTGTAGTTATCTCTGTTACCTGCCTTGCCGGTTCCTCAATATATCACAGGGTAATGCAGGAACTAGGGATCTCTTGATTTATTTTTTTCCCCAGAGTTCATCTCTCTTTCCTCTAGCATCTGCACTTAAATTTTCGCTTGGAAACCACCTTTCCTAGACTTTTACTCCATGTAATTTTGGAAGAGATGCCCTTCTAGTGTGAGAGATGCATATAAATCCAGGTAAACACAGGATAATTAGCCAGGGAAGCAGATCTGTCCCTAAAGCCATGGGAATTAGTCAGTGAGCCTTAGTTCCAGAACTGTTTCTGGTAACACGGAGCAGGATAAGCTCCTTCCTGGCAGTGACACAATGTACTTTGGAACCAAGTGACAATCGGGATCCCACAAAGAGGACCATACTGAGAATTAAGCCAACAGAGGAAAAACTGCCAGGATCAGGAAGGAAACATATTCTGGGTAACATCATTCATGTCCTTGGGTACTCCATTCCAGAAGGTAAACTCCTGGGTTTTTTTAGCTGTATCACTGATGAATTTCCTTTGTTTATATGTTCGAGTTTGATTTTTCAATCCCTCTAATCATAGAACCTCTACAAACAGCCCCCCACTGCATGCTCTCCCAGCTGCACACCTGAGGCATCTAGCCTGTCCGTATAGCCGCCATTCAATATTCTAGACCAAGTGGGTTATTTGGTCATTTATCTGGTCACTACACTGCCTGCCTCCGCTCCTAGGAGCAGGTTATCTGAGAGCAGTTTCCTGCAGACCCCGAAGCCAGACTTCCTGGGGTTTGAATCTTGACTCCATTGCCTACCTGCTGAGCGATACTGAGCCAAACACCTCCCTTCTTTGTGCTTCTGATTTGTCATCCATAAGATGCGCAGTTAGAATGGTTAACACCTGAAAAACAAAAACAATAACAAACAAGCAAGTGGTTAATGCTTCACAGATGGTAAGGAGATAGTAACTGCAAAGCCTCGGAAAAGTATCTGGTACAAAATACATGCTGCACAAGTATGTCCTGTGTAAGTGGCAACTATTTTATGACTATTACTGTCACACTGATGATCATTATGATTATCACTATTACTTGTAACTCTAATGCCTGATGCAGTGCCCCTCAATTGAAGAGAGTGAATGATTCTTCAGTATTACATGACGGGGTTTTACTACGGTACTCACCCGATCCTGCAGTTCACCCATGGACTAAACAACCGAGGCAGCATGAGGGAGCTGCAACCACCTCAGCCGAGAACACTGCGAAAGTCCCCAGTCTTCCCGTCTGGTGCCTGCTACTCTCCTCACCCTCCCCCCACCCTGCCTGTGCTCGGTTTCTTGCCCTTTCATTCCATCTCTCATGCCCAGGGTCCAAGAAGCTCTAGAACCTGATGACAGAGTTCTCCTTGGTCATTTTGGGGTGTCAGTTCTCTCTTTTATCTTTCTCTCCATCTTATGAGAGTTTCTTTGCATGACTTCTCCCTGGGCTTCTATACCAGGGGATCAGCTATCAATACAGTACAAGAGCATCTACCCCATAGTAAGGCAATGAGGCTATCATCGGGATTCAAAATGTAACCCCCAAGACACAGGAAGTGTCTAATACCATGTATTTCAAAATGGGTTAAAAATGAAAGTATAATTTCTCTTCACCTAAGATCCCCCCTCCCTATGTCTGCTTTCTCTACAAGTTCAAGGACAATTTCCAGGTTAGGTAGCCCCATTTCATGCCAGCAGTAGTCAGTCACTTAAGTAGGATCAGGATGCTGATGAGGTCACATGAGCCACTTATAATCTAAGGAAGGTGGCCAGAGGGAGGAGGGGCCAGTCAGTTTGCAAACCACAGGGCTCACCGAAATCCATTTAAAAGAATACAAGACATATTTACGACCTGGCCATTTGCTCCATGCTGTCCCCAGAGTGGATGCAGAAGAAACAGCTGTCATTCAAAATGTCACCTGAGACGACACGTGGGATATATTTAGCAGAAGGCACAAAAATCATAAAAATATGTATGATGTAAACATGAGACATTTCCAAGGTGCTAAATTTGGAATGATCTGCTTCTCCATGGTCCTGCTGGAGGAAATAAAATGCTGGGAGATGAAGAACGGAAACTTCAGTGTTCTGCTCCTAGTGCCTAAGTCACAGGGGCATCGCATACAGCACGGTGACTGCAGCTGGTCCCACACTGCGTACGTGAGAGCAACTAGGCGAGCGCATCCCGAAGGTCCTCCTCACCAGAAAAAGTTCTGCAACAATGTGTGGTGACATTACCAGGATTTACCATGTCGATCATCTCATGATATATACAAATCTCAAATTACACGGTACCCCTGAAACTAATACAGTGTTATGACAGTTATGTCTCAAATAAAAAAAACAACCTCAAGATACTATTGAGAACAAAAAGGGGTAGGAAAATATACTGAGAACAAATATATTAATGACCTAAGAAATAATAATGGCTAACTGTACAGAGGGCTTACTATGTGGTAGACATTGGTCTCAGTATATATGTAATCATCACAACAAACCCACGAGCGAGGGGCAGTTATTTCACTTTATTTTATTTTTGCCATTTTACAGATAACGAAACTGAAGCACAGGGAAGGTAAATATCCGTAGGTTACTCAGCTAAGAAGCCGAGAATGGAATTTTGAGTCCAGACCATCCAGTCAGTTCCAGAGTCAACACTCCTCATCAACACGCTACGGGGATATAATTGTCTTAGTTTGGCTGAAATACTGTTTCTCCTAATCATGACAATAGTTCTGGGTGATATTTCAAAAGCAGGTATTAGTTGAAAAATGAAGATTCTTTGGCTCCTCTGCTGTTCTGGCTCCACAAGCATAAAGTGTAATTGTTGATGACCGGTGAATGCAGTCATTCTGAGGACACTCCCGTTAGATTCCGAGTGGTGCAGCGGTAAGTGATTACATTAATTACCCTGATTTACCAAACTGCCTGTAACTGGCTGTGCAAGTGTCTGAGTGGTTGTTAGATACATGGAGAAATGTGGAAACAGACAAAATAGATTTGTCTCAGTTGTGTAATTTCAATAGAGATTTTTAAATAAGTGCTTTACACAGTACGCAAGCGATGTGAAAATCATCCGCGGATGTATAGCCTGGTTAGGCCACGTGGCTTCTCAGGTGGATAATCACAGTTACCTCCACAAGTACGCTGTAACTATCTCAACATTCGTGAAGTCTTCCTGAGAGAATCTGCCATGGAGAAAAATAAATAGAGCTACGGCGGTAATACTAAAAAATGGTAATTATTTCTTGGTTTCCCACGGCATTTCTCTATAGAATCATTCCCCTTAATGTAGGCAGTAGCTGAAACAGTAATTCTCAACCTCTAGCTTATGCATTCAAAGAAGCTCATTGTGTCTTTAGAAGACAGATTCCTGGGCACCTCCAAGAAGTCTGACTCATTAAATCTGAGCAGGGCCCCAGAGTCCATATTTTAAATGAGTTCCTCTGAGGATTCCGAGGCAGATTCAGGTTGCACCCAGACAGAAGGCTGGACACCCGGCTTTGCTGACTCTTCAGACCAGCCCCTGCCTGAATGGCCAGTATGGAATGTTTGCTTACACTAACTACTGAATAAATACATAGCACAGACTTTGCTCTGTACTCCAGGTTCCATTCTTCTAAACGCAACCATGTGTTGATTATTGAAATCTCAAGTCATTGACCCCTTCAGCAATGGTTCAGAGGAATGGCTCTGCTCGGTCACTTTTGCTGGTTTCCCAGTGAGTCACATGGTTAAGCTGAAATTCAAGAGGTAGAGAAATAACTCCGTGTTTTGAAAGAAAAATCTTTAAAGCATCATGGCTCTTTTGCAATCTGTCACTGTTTATCTTCTAAACAAAATCATTTCAAACCTTCCCCAATGTAAAATAAGTAAACCCACATCCTCAGGACCCTCAAAGTCTCAATTGATTATGGCATTAGATTCAAGGCCATGATGTCAAGACCTATTTTGAGTTCAGATGCAGATGAGTCTACTTGGATGCAAAGGATCAAAGGACAGGAACCTAGTCAACAAAACAAGCAAGCAAAATATAACCAAAGACACTGGAATTGAGAACAGGCTGACAGTGACCAGAGGGGAGAGGGGAGGGAATTTCAGAGGAAAAGGGTGAAGCGTTTACAGGAACAAGTATAAAGGGCACATGGACAAAAATGGGGGTGGGGTGGGGGTGGAAATGGGAGGGAGGTGGGGAGGGCTGGGGGGGTGGGGGGGAAGGCAGAAAACTGTACTTGAACAACAATTAAAATTTAAAAAACTAAATTAAAAAAAAAGAGCAAGTCTTCTTGAACCAGAGACCCGAAAACTAAAAAGAGAACTTAGGGCCTCTCGTCAATGAACACTGGTTGATAAGAAAAGAACAGGATGACCAATGATGGGAATAAGGACACTCCCATTCAGAAAGAGGGACATGAGGAGACAAACAGCAGTCACTGCTCTGTCAGTGAGTCAGTGCCCGGACCGCCAGGCAGGCCTTGTTCACGAGGCAGGAAACAGCATTTCTGGGGGCCCAGCTCTTCTCCGTGGCAGTGGTTGCTCTTTCCTCCAGCTTCCAAATCCTTGGCTCCGCCCTCTGAAATGTGACTTTTCAATGAGAAATATTTTTTGTTTACAGATGATGGTTTTCAGGCTTCTTCCTGACTGTAGAAGATGGAAATTCCAGAAGCCTTTCATCTTTTTATTGTTGTTCAATTACAGTTGTCTACATTTATGACCCCCCACCCCAGCCATCCCCACCTCCCTCCCCTGCTTCCACCCTGCCCTTAGTTTTGTCCATGTGTCCTTTACAGTCGTTCCTGAAAACCCTTCCCCCCATTAATCCCCTCCTATCTCCCCTCTGGTTACTGTCAGCTTGTTCTTCATTTCGACGTCTCTGATTATATTTTGCTCGCTTGTTTGTTTTGTTGATTAGGTTCCAATTAAAGGTGAGATCATATGGTATTTTTCCCTCACTGCCTGGCTTATTTCAACTTTGTCCTTTTTAGTCCTAGCTGACAGTCCTTCTCCTAGCATAATTCCCTTAAAAATTAGGTGCATATCCCATGAAAATTACTCCATACCCTAAAAGCCACATCCACAATTATTCCAGAGAGGCGTCTGTACATCGGGCCACACGTGAAATACTGAAGCAATGACCGTGCTAAATCGGATACTTGGGTAGATTTGTTTCTGGTTCTGATTTTTGTTATTCCTGAATGGCTGTGTCCACACTAGTACCAGTGGTGTAAAAGCTGGGTTTCATCTTTAAGGTCCCTAGATTTAGAGATTTATATTAGGTTTAAGAGGTCGAGAATGGGTATGACAGTAAATACAGAATCTGGTACACTTAGTAGCCTTTTGTTTGTTTGTATTTGTTTTTATCTATGGGAATATGGGCTCCTTTAACTTGAAAGAGTTTCCTTGCTTCATCCAAAATTGTCTAGCCTTTTATATTTTCACTTATTATGTGTCTAATATTTTAAAAACCTGTGAAAATCAAGTTTCCATACTAAAGATGAAAAGAACCCAAATCTATAGCAGGCTCCATTTGATTTCTCTAAATGAATAAATAATTCCAAATTAATGTTCCCTAAGGTTCTTTAAATACAGCTAAAGAAAGAAAAGAAGTTGATATCATTTCAAATTACACAAGTTGGTCCAGAAAAATAAGGGTCTCTAAAAGCCATGTGAACCAAGAACTAATGGTGCCCCAAATATAATCAAGCTTAGACTTCAAAAAAAGATGAAAATCAATGACATGAAGGCATAAGAGCACACAGATCCTCAATAATGATGCTTCCTCAGTCCATCTCATGGTGCTTAATTATGTGATTTTGCCTTAACTGAGAAACATACTTAATAGCAGCTGACACTTCCACT